AATATCATACAAAGATAAAGCAAAGAAAATCAGGAATAAAAGAGACACCACATAATGATAAAATGATCAATTCACCCTATGAAAATACAACAGTCCTAAAGGTTCCTAATAGCAGAGCCTCAAAATGCAGAAAGCAAAAACTGATAGAACTGAAGAGAAAAATGGGCAAATCTACACATATTATTGAAGATTTCAACTTTTCTCTCTAGGCAATTGATAGAACATGTACACAGACAATCAGCAAAGATGTAAAAGAACTAAATACCACCACTAATCAACTGGATCTAACTGACATTTATAGAACACTTCACTCAACAAATACACTTTCTTTTCAAGTGCACATAGAGCATTCACCAAGATGGGCCATATCCTGAATCATAAAACAAACCTCCATAAATTTAAAAGAATTAAAATCATACAAAATGGGCGCCTGGGTGGCTCAGTTGGTTGGGCGGCTGCCTTCGGCTCAGGTCGTGATCCTGGAGTCCCTGGATCGAGTCCCGCATCGGGCTCCCTGCTCGGCAGGGTGCCTGCTTCTGCCTCTGACCCTCCCCCCTCTCATGTGCTCTCTCTCTCTCATTCTGTCTGTCTCAAATAAATAAATAAAATCTTAAAAAAAAAAAAAAATCATACAAAATGTCTTCTCTGACCATAATGGAATTAAACTGGAAATCAATAACAGAAACATGATTGAAAAGTCCTCAACTGTTTAAAAATTAAATAATATACTGTCAAATAATCTGCAGTTCAAAGATACAGTCTTGGGAGAAATTAGAAAATATTTTGAAGTGGACAAAAATGAAAACACAACATCAACATTTGTAAGATGAAACGAAAATAGTACTTAGATATTTATAGCATTAAATGCTTATATGAGAAAAGCATAAACAAGATGTGCCAGATAAATGCCAACAAAAAGAAGGTAGGCATGGTGAAATTAATATTAAATGAAATAGAATTCAAAGCTAAAAGCATTCACTAGAGACAACAGAAATGTCAAAATGATAGTTAATAAAAACGTAATATATGCCAGGCACTATTCTTTTTTTTTTCTTTTGCTAGGCACTGTTCTAAGATATTTTTATATATTAACTCATTTAATCCCTACAATAATTATATGACTTAGGTAATATTATTATCACCATTTTGGGAATGGAGAAACTGAGTACAGAGAAGTTAAGAAAGCAATAGAACTAGGATTTAAACCCAGTATTTAGGCTCTTTATTGCTACACTCTACTGAACAAAACATATGTTAACTTTTGGGGCACCTGGGTGGCTCCGTTGGTTGAGCCTCCAACTCTTGGTTTCCTCTTGGGTGATGATCTCAGGGTTGTGGGACGGGCCTATAGCGGGGGGGGGGGGGTCCACGCTCAGCGGGGAGTCTGCTTGGGATTCTCACTCTCCCTCTCCTTCTGCCCCTCCCCCACCTCTCTCTCTCAAATAAATAAATAAATCTTAAAAAAAAAAACCCATGTTAACTTTGGTTCATCTAACACCATAATTTCAAAAAAAACAAACAACAACAACAACCCCAAACTGTTAGAAATCCAAGGAAAAGTAATAAATCTAAAACTTTAGTGAGGAGCTTTAATATATCTGTTTTAGTAAGTCAATACATCAAGAAAAAGAAGAGTAAGTATAGGAGCGGCTGGGTGGTGCAGTCAGTTGAGCATCGGACTCTCCTGAGATCAAGCCCTGCATCTGGCTCCTCACTCAGGGGGGAGTCTGCTGGAGATTCTCCTCTCCCTCTGCCCCTCCCCCCGCTCCTGTGCTCTCTCTCTCTCTGAAATAAATAAATAAACCTTAAAAAAAAGAAGGGTAAGCATACAGAGAGTTTAAATTACATAATTAACAAAATACATAATGGACATATGGATTTTGTACCCAACTAAGAGAGAATATTCAATCCTTTTAAGCACACATGGAACACTTACAATCCCTGACTATCTATTAGGACACAAAGAAAATCTCAACAAATTCCAAAAAGCAGAACATACAGACCTGTTCTCTGAATAAAAGAAATAATAAAATTTGATTATTATACCATCACCAAAGTATAGCCAAAAATTTATCAAATTAAACATTTTAAAATACCCTTTTAAATTATTCTTGGATTAAAGAGGAAATGTAAAATGGAAACTACAAGCTAATTAGAAGTGGATAAAAACTAGAGCATTATTTTAAGGATGTGTCCTAAGCAGTCCTCAGAGAAAAATTTATAGCTTTAAATGCCTTCATTAGGAAACAAGAGAGACTTAAATAAAGGATAACACAATACACAACAAATAGAATAAAATGAAACAAAAACTAGAGGTCAATTCTATTTATGAAAATAAAGGCAAAACTCCCAAACAAAATACTAGCAAAATGATTCTAGAGGTTTATCAAAAGAGCAAAGCAACATGACCATTAAAGGCACATCCCATGAATGTAAGGACAGTGAGCCTTGGGAAAACTGCGATTGTCGGTCACCACATTCATAGATTAAAGGAGAAAAACACCAGGTTCTAAAAGGAGAAATCTGTATGGCAAAAATGCAAAGTAAAAGACAAATGATAAGCCAGGAAAAACTACTCATAACTCAAATTTCAGAAAAAGGATTATTTTCCTGAATATATGCATTCTTATGTATCCATTTTTTTAAACCAACAATTAACAGAAAAACATACAAAGTATGTGAAAAGTCAGTTCTTGGAAAAGCAAATGCAAATGCCTGTTACATACGCAAAAAAAAAAAAAAAAGGCAACAAAAATACTCCTTAATCCACTCATAACTAGAGAAATGCAAATTAACACTACCACAAGGGATTTATTTCTAAATACCATTCTCTAGTAAAAGAACCAGAGCTTCTTAGAGGAACTCGGATTCCAGGACTGGGATGGGGAGAAGATAAAATGAACCTGACACATGTTATAGGGTCAGAAAATAAGGAAATGGGGGGGGAGAGATGGGGGATGGGTACCCAGAAGCCCACCAGTAGGAGCTAATAAAGGCCAAAGATGAAAAAATTTAACCAACAAAATCAAGCACAACAGTATTTAATTACAACCCAGAGAATAAAATAAAGAAATCAGTGTAGGAGAACAGAAAATATTCCTTACACAGGAATGTACAGGGAATAGAGCCACCCTTCTTCATCCCATAGCAGACACTTCTGGGGCCATCCGAGTGATGGGTTCTGGGCTGGGCTAGGACAGGCTCCCATGGAGCTCACAGCCTGCAGTGGGAGTGACAGCCATCTCGGGCATCCAGTCCCCTCAAGCAGGGGCACCCCTCCAGTTCTCCTTGCCTCTCTCTGGGCCCTCTCAGCCACCCCAGTGAGTCACCATATTTTTTTGCGTGAGTTCCCTTTCAGTAAATTGAGATAGAGATTACTTGAAATAAAATGCAACCATTTTAAGTGGAGCGTTTGATGGGTTTTGTTAAATGTATGTTTCTGTGCAGTCACCACCCTCCGCAAAATAAAAAAACATTTCCAGCACTCCAGAGAGCTTCCTCCTGCCTCCACCCCAGGTTACCACTGGTCTGATTTCGGTCACCATAGCTGAGTTTCACATGTTCTAGAAATTCATAAAAATAGAATCATACAGCATGTACCCTTTCGAGCCTGGCTTCTTTCATTCAACATAATGTCTGCAAAATGCATCCCTGTTGTTGCACCTGTCAATGGTTTATTCCTTCTTCATGCTTAGAAGTATTCCAGCGAAGGGATGCCCCACAGTTAGTTTATCCTCTCAGGTGTAATGAGCGACTGGAGTTGTGCAGTTTGAGCTATTAAAAATAGAGCCTCAGGAGGCCTGGGTGGCTCAGTCGTTAAGCGTCTGCCTTCGGCTCAGGTCATGATCCCAGCGACCTGGGATCAAGTCCCCCATAGGGCTTTTGCTCAGCTTGAAGCCTGCTTCTCCTTCTGCCCCTCCCCCCGCTCATGCTCTCATGTGCTCTCTCTCTCTGATAAATAAATAAATAAAATCTTAAAAAATAATTAAAAATAAATTAAAAATAAAAATAGAGCCGCTGTGGATGTTCAAGTCCAAACCTTTGCAAAGACAGGTGCTTTCATTTCTCTTGGGGAAATACCTACAGATAAAATGTCTGGGTCACACAGTATACTTCTGTCTAATATTTTAGGAAACTGCCAAGCTGTCTTCCGCAGTGGAAGTCATCACTTCCAGCCCCAACAGGGGTGTATGAGAGTTCCAGTTGCTCCACATCCCCCCCCCAGCACTTGAATGGTAGAGTCCCCTTTTATGAAGCCATTTTAATAGGTGTAAAATATCTCGGCGCGTGTGGGTGGCTCAGTTGGTTAAGCAACTGCCTTCCGCTCCCGTCATGATCCTGGAGTCCCGGGATTGAGTCCCACATTGGGCTCCCTGCTCAGCGGGCAGTCTGTTTCTCCCTCTGACCCTCCCCCCTCTCATGCTCTCTCTCTTTCTCATTCTCTCTCTCTCAAATAAATAAAATCTTTTTTAAAAATTTAAAAAGATAGTTTCTCATTGTGGCTCTAATTTGCATTCCCAGATGTCTAATGATATTGAATATAGTTTCGAGTGCTTACTGGACAATCATATATCTTCTTTGGACTGTTCAAAACTTTGGCCAATTAAAAAAGTTGCGTTGTTTTCTACTTACTGAGTTACAGTTTTGAGCCAAATTAACACTGATCGATATCAGGTTGTCCTTGTTCTAACCCTCACCTGTCCTCCTCCCAGGGGATCCAGAGTAAGATCCAAACACCTGGGTCTGGTTCTCTACCATCTGTCTCCTCCCCGCTAGCCCTTTGTTCAGTCCTTTCTTCCACAAAGGCTCCCGGCAACCCTCTGAACCAGCCATAACGAGGCAGACAACTATTACCAAGAATCATCTTGTTCACGATTCTCTGGACACAATAATGACCCACTCCCCACAAATTAAGCTGATGCATCCTTGCATCCTGCAAATGCAATCTTTCTAGCGCTGCTGTTAATGAACAAATAAATGAGTGAACGAATGCCTCTTACCTGGCGGGAGAGGCCATCGAATTCTTCTTTGAGGAAGTGACACTGGGATGATCACAGAGTAAAGGGAAGTTCATCAGATAACCAGGTTGGAGAAGAGCAGCCAGGTAGCAGGGTCAGCATGCACAAAGGCCCTGGAGTGGGGAGAGCATGGTTTGTTCAAGAAACTGTAAGAGGGTCTATGAGTGGAGGAGCCAGGGAGCAGAAGACACCAAGGGATTATGTGTTTAGTCTCTCTACCAAGACTCTGAGCAAGATGGGAATCTCTGAAGGTTTGGGGGATAAGGGAAATGCAGGTGATCCTGACTGAGCATTTTAGCATCCTTCTGGCTGCCAAGAGAGGAAGCAGAGAGGCCTCTTAAAGACACCCTCACAGCAGTCCAGGGAGCAGGCAGGAGTACTCTGGGGCCTCGTGGAGGCTTGGTGGTGGTGAGAAGTGAAGAGACAAAGAAAGCTTTAGGAGGTGAACATGTGCCGGCCTTGGTGACGGACTGATGGTGAGGGTGAAGGAGAACAAGGACAGCCCCGGGTCTCAGATCTTGGGGTACAAGGATGGATGGCGGTGCCCTTCATGGGGGCCCAGGAGCCAATGGGAGTCCCCGGAGTATGAATGGGGAGAGGGAGCAGAAGGAAGGCTGGGGAGGCCAGTACAGGAGGCCGGGCCGGCCAAAGATGGGAGGGGTGGCCAGGGGAGAAAGAGGGAGTGGGTTGGGGAGCTGACAGCTCGCTCAAAAGCGCAGGAGGACGAGACAGGGGTCTTGCCGTTTGGGCGCCTAGGTTCCTGGGTCCCAGACACAGCGCAGGGACACGGGCAGGAAGCTAGACGACGCAGCGAGTGTACACAACCCTTCAGAGCACGCAGAGAAGGCTGGAAGCCCCGACGGGGCGTTCAGGGGCAGCAAAAAGAAGGTCTCGGAGCGCCGGGCCGGGGCTGAGGGGAGAGTGCGCGTGGGTGTGAGGGGGCCCCACGCCAGCTCGGCGGACAGTCCCGCCCGGCGGGGCCCGGAGCAGCTCGGGCAGCCAGGGTCCGAGCGGAGGACGGGAGGAGGGGGAAGGCGAGCGGAAGAAGCGAGCGGGGCAGCGGGGGAGCCGGAGACAGCGAGGAAGGGAGGAGGGGACGGGGCAGGAGGGGCGGGGCGGGGGCGGGGCGGCGGGGGGATGCGCCCCCGCTCTCGAGTCTCGCCTTTTCTCCTTCCGCACAGCCCGGGTTTCCGCTTCCCTCCCGGGCGCGGGGTGAGGGAGCGGGGCCGCGCCTCGGTCCCTGCCGCCGCCGCCATGTGGCCCCCAGACCAGGAGCCCGACCCGGAGCCCGGCCCGGCCCCGGCGCGCGCCGGCCGCTCTGCGCCCGGCGCGGCGATGCCCGGGCTCCGCGCCCTCCTGCCGGCGCGCGCCTTCCTCTGCTCGCTCAAAGGCCGCCTCCTGCTGGCCGAGTCGGTGAGTGCGGCGCGGGGCCGGGGGCCGGGGCGGCGGAGGCGCCGTCGGGACGCCCGGGACCGCCGAGCCCTCGGAGCCGCGGAAAGCGGGCGGAGCTGGGCGCACTTCCCCAGGCGTCGGGTGGCGCCGAAGCTCAGCGCGCGAAGCAGAGGCGAGGCGGGGCTCGAACCCAGGCCCTCGGGGCTCCCTAACCCAGCGTGGGGGGCCGGTCGGGACGCCTGGGGCCGCGGCCCGATGACGCGGCGGCCGGGCCCCTGGGAGCTCAGCCCGACGCTGTGTGACCCCGGGCGCCTCCGCCCTCTCCGGGCCCCCGGAACGGGCTGCAGCCCCACATCCTCTGGCCTCCGTCGCGGGCACTCGGCTCCGCAAACCCTCCCGCCATCCCCGGCTGCGCCCCGGGAGGAATCAGCCCGCTCGGCGCTTCACGACGCGCGGATCGGGGCCGGGGTCGGCTCTCCGCGCCCTTGCCCGCTTTCCTGGGCGCAGGGAGGGCTGGCCGGGCCTCGAGCTGCGGGGCGGAGGCCGGGGTGGACTCCGGCCAGCCAAGACGGGGAACAGCGGGAAGTGGGAAGGGGACCCCCGGGATTGGGTGAGGCCGGGGCCGCACAGTGCGGGGCGCGGAGGCAGACCCCTCCCCCCGGGTGCAGGGGGCGGGAGCCCAGCGGGGGTGACTTCATCCCCCTCATGCCCCCCTCGCTCGGATCCAGCCGCCCCGCCCCCGCCGAGCTCCTTCCTCCTGCCCGCAACCCCCACCCCGGCCCGTCAGGCCTTTGTCTTGGGGACACTACGAAAACTCCTGCACCATCCGCGGGTGGGGCGGGGGCTTGGTGCTGGGCCTCCGTGCAGGGAAGGGGACGAAGTGGCCGGGCGCAGGGGAGGTGAGATAAGGAACAGCTCTTGTTACTTAGATCTCTGGCAGTTTGGCAGTCCCTGTCGTTATTCCCACTTTGCAGACAAGAAAGCTGAGGCCAGGGCATCTAGGGAATTTAACAGGTGGGTCACTTGCGGGCCAGGTGACAGCAAGGCTGAGTGGAGGTCAGAGGAAGGAAGCTTCTGCCCCACACCTCTCCTTCGTACTGCCCGGGCAGATGGCAGGAGGCCATCCTGGCACTTCTTCTGCCCCTGGGGTCAGCCCGGAGGTCACCAGCCCAGCTCCCAAGTGAGGCACCAGGACCCAGGACTCAGCCCACACTCCAGGAAGTCGCCTGTGGTTGGCCACCCCAGCCCCACCCTGGAGACTGATGAGAGCCCCTTTTGCACAGAAGCCTTAAATCCACAGGCCAGTGAGGGAAGCCAACCCCAACCCCACTCAGCCCACCTTATAGGGGAGGCCCTTGGTGTAGCTTTTCTAGGAGGATGAAGAAGTAGGGAGGAACAGGTTAGGGTTGATCACAAGGGGAGCCACTCTGGCCACTCTTCCCTCCCTCTGGTCCCCTCTGGCTGCCTCCAGGCCCAAACAAGTGGGGAGGCTGACCGGGACGGGAAAGGGGAGGAAGTAGCCACCAGGAATCAGGGAATAAGGAAACAGGAGTGGAGAGGGGGTTCCCCAGAATCTGACTTTGGGGGCCGGTGGACAGGAAGGGGAGGGACCATGACAGCCTTCCCAGGAGGACGTACAGCAGGAGCTAGGGACAGGGCTGGGTCAGGGCCCCCTGGCCTTGCTTTCCTGGGAGGCCCCTCTCTGTGCCTTAATTTTACATCTGTTCAAATTGAACTCGGCTAATTTCCGGGCCATGGTCAAGGCAAATTTGGGTGCCCTGGGGACTCCCTGGGATCTCTGCAACTCATCTGTCTGAAGCAGCCACAGCATTTCCTGTGGGGCCTCTGGGTGTCCCTACAGGGCCCCCTGGGCCCCACTCCAAGCTACTCAGCCGTGGACATGTTCAAACCCGCCCAGCCATAGTGACAGGCCAGATAAAGGCCAGCTCCCATAGGGCAGGGTTGCTTAGGAACTAGAGCTGTGTGGCCAGCCAGCCCTGGGTTCAAGTTTTGATGCCTTGTTATTAGCTGCATGACACTGAGCAACTCACTTCACCTGTGAAGTGTCCGCACCTCAGTCTTCTGATCTGTGAGGTGGGCTGTGAGCAGCACCAGTGCCTGGGTGGTTGCGAGGATTCTGCAAGCCTCAGGCCCTGGCCCGGGAAACAGCCCCTCATCTTGGTCTGCCCTGCCCTGCAGGGCACACGGTCTGCAGAACTAGCCGGGGACCTCAGCGTCTCCTGGCATCAGTCCCCACCCACGGCGTGTGGGCAGGGCTGCGGAGAACTCTGATCCTTGTTGCTTAGCGTGGCCTGCCCTTTGCACAAAGGCTGGGTGGATGATGCAGCAGGGCCTGAAGTGTCAGGCCAACACTCCCCCTCCTGGAGGGTTTTTTCTTCGTATGAATTGGCAAACAGAAAACCCGAAGAGTTCTACCCTTAGCGCCCGTATACCCACCGCCCAGATTGTACAGTTGTTACCCTGTTGTCAGATTTCCTTTATCACATATCTCATCCATCTGTCTGGCCACCAATTAGTTTCTGATGCGGAATAAATTACGTGCATCAGTACATTTCGACTCTGAACACTTCAGCATGCATATCATTAACTGAATTCAAGGTTTGTGTATTGGTTTTCAGCTAAAAGTCACATTCTTGGGAGTTGGGTGTAATTTTTTGAAATGGTTTCTGCTTTGTGAGCTGCCTTAGAGACTGCTTAGGTTTGATTTGCCCTGTTGGGCACCATCTGAGTTGGGTGGATCCCGCCATAGAGCCTGCTGGGGTGGGGGGCGAGGTGAGCAGCAGGCTACGTGGACGTAGCCTCCTGGGGGGCTAGACCCATGTGGGAAGCTGGGCTTCCTGATTGGGTCCTGGCAGGGTGCTGGCACGGGATCAGGGTGCAGAGCCGTGCCCAGAGGCATTGGGGCAGCGCGGGTGTGGGCCAGGGCCCCATAACGGGGTTCTAATGCTGGCAGCTGCAGGACTGTGGGCAGGTGGCCTCCCCTGCTGGAGCGTCTTCTGTGCTTGGCTGCAGAGCCCTGGGCCGGGGGTTGTGCAAAGGTTCTGACTTTACCTTCCCGCACCTCCAGGGTCTCTCGTTCATCACCTTTGTCTGCTATGTGGCATCCTCTGCATCCGCCTTCCTCGCAGCGCCTCTGCTGGAGTTCCTGCTGGCCCTCTACTTCCTCTTTGCCGATGCCATGCAGCTGAATGACAAGTGGCAGGGCTTGTGCTGGCCCATGATGGTGAGGGCTGGGCCCCAGGAGGAAGGGGCTGGCTGCATTTCGGCCCTCACCCTTTCTTCAGTGTGCTGGTTGGTTGGAGCCAGGACCCTCCACCCGGCAGCCATGTGACCCAGAGCCGTTGCCTTACCTCCGGGAGCTCTCTGGGTGAGGCGGGGAAGCCCCGCTGGCATCCTGGCCCCTGGCCACCAGGTGGCGCTGGTGCTCTCAGCTGGGCCTGCCGGAATGAGCCTCAGCCGCAGGAATTCAAGCCATTTCCACAAGGGCAGGACAGGTTAACTGAGGACTTGGAGGGCTTACCCAGACCTCAGCTGTCTGGCAACTTGCTTAGGCAGTCACCTGGGAGGCCTCAGAGCCCCACCTCAAACTTTGCTGTTTGAGAAGGGACAGAAAGGCTGCGATTGCACCCTGGTCTCTTGACTTCATATCCAATATGCTTCCTGCTGGGCTGCACCCTGTGTCCCCATTTTAGGGACAGGTGAGCAGAAACCATGATACATAAATGGATCTGCCACAAGTATGTGGCTCAGTGAGGCCCAGGGCCAGATCTCCCCACTGGAGAGCCAGCAGGGAGCAGGTGACCAGGTTTCCAACGTCCTTCTCACCAAATGGGATCTATATGTGGGCCCGGCCGGAGGGCAAGCTGCAGCCTGGCCCACATCCTGTTGTCCACCGGGCAGGTGACAGCCAGCTGGACCGGGAACAGGGCAGCCTCCAGGGGCACCTGGGCAGGGGCAGGAATGGGGGTGGGAGAAGGACCAGGGAGTGCAAGGTGGGGCCAGGACAGGGCGGGAGCCCCACGGATGCCGGACCTGCGGGCGCCGGGTGTGTGTCCAGCCTTCGGGGCCCATCATCCCCTGGAAACAGTGGGTTCCAGCCCCATTCCTGCCGCCTGGTGCCCTTCTGAGTCCCTGCCCCGGTCTGGGCTCCCAGTTGTACTGCACTCCTGGGAGCCCAGGGCGGTGACCACGCCCACCTCCCCCCAGGACTTCCTGCGCTGTGTCACAGCAGCGCTCATCTACTTTGCCATCTCCATCACAGCTGTCGCCAAGTACTCGGACGGGGCTTCCAAAGCAGCTGGGGTGAGTAGCCACCCTAGCCCTGGAAGAGGTTGCCCAGCAGTGCCCCCCTCAAGCTCACCCCACCCCTGATGGAGCCCCAGATACCCCTTGGACACTCAATGTCTGGGGCACAGCCTGTCCCCGCAGAGGCCCCTTGGGTTTTCACGTGGATCTCAGCGATTCCAAAGTCTTCTTATTGGAGATTTAATCTGCCCTGAGTTTTGAAGGCTGTTTGCCCAACCAAGGTAACAGCTCATTTTCCTACTTGTCGGTACCGGGACGGGTCTGTGTTTGCCAATCCGAGCTACTTATCCGAGCTGATTGAGCGGGGCGGCAGCTTCTCCGCTTCTCCTGGGCTCTCGGACCAGGGACTCCCCAGCTCCTGATGATGGGTCCCATCCACCCTGTTCCCTATCCCACAGGTGTTTGGCTTCTTTGCCACCATCGTGTTTGCAATCGATTTCTACCTGATCTTTAATGACGTGGCCAAATTCCTCAAGCAAGGGGACTCTGCAGAAGAGAACACAGCCGACAAGGCAGAAGGTGGGTGGCCCCCCTGTGGGTTTTCACCTGGGAACCCAGCTTCTCAACCCAGGACTGTTGCTGGGGACCCTGCTCTCCCTTAGGGATACTTGGCCAGTTTGAGACTGGAGGAGCATTTCCTCTCTCCCCATATGGGCAGGAAGTGTGTTCACAGCCTGGTTCTCCTATCCCTTCATGGGGCACTGATCATAAAGCAGGCTGGCTCCGCAGGGCCTCTGCCTTTCCAGGAAAGGCATGCTGAGGGCCTTTTCCTCGGTGAGACCTTTCATGATGAGCCCGGGCTGCTGAGCGGCCACCTGCCCTGAAACCCACCCCCCCTGCCCAGTTTCACCGGCCCGTTGCTCAGGGGCCAGAGAACCAGGCTCTCCTTATCCGCAGCACTCGGGCAAGCTCTGCAGAAAGCATCCCTCTGCTAAAAATATGTGAGACTCCTCTCATCCCATCCTGTACTTCAGCCACTCCTAGGTTCAGTGTCCCTAGACATTTTCCTTAGGCCTTTGGGACCTGCTACCAGTTGCCTGCCCTGGGTGCTCCTAGCCCATCACCCCAGTGAACAAGTAGGAAGCGTCAGTGGAGACGTGTGTTTGAGTATTGTGGGCTTTGACACTTGGAGATATATGTATGATGATTTTTTTTTTTTTTTTTGCTGTAAAATGATTCCTAGCTTGTGTTAGAATGAATACAGCAAACCCACAAAATCATACAGGGCTAGGGAGTCAGGGTTTGTGGAGGCTCTCGGAGCTCATCCATGACCCGGCAACAGTGTGAGGACAGCCTGGGGTTCAAAGAGACCGAGGCTGGCCAGGGAAGGGGTGTCCCTCCCTGAAAATAGCAACTGGCACTGGGGCTGAGGCAGGAGGGTTAGCAACTTGGGTGTCTTTCCTTCCTGGAATGGGGGGGGCGTTCCAGAAGGCTCTAGAGAGTACTCTTCGGTATTGGATTTCTAGGAGCCCTTGAGTCATACCTTAGATAGGCCCTTGACGTCATAAAATGGTTCTGATCACCATATAATATTAGGATTGGGGGCAAGGGGGATTGAAACTATAAGTTGGTTAAAAGAAAGCTTCCTGATTTTCTAGTATATTTTACTTTCTTGTGCCTGAAAATAGCTGTCCTCACCTTGCCCTGCTGAATTGCAGGGTAGGGTTGAATTTGGGGTGCAGATATATCACGCTAACACCCCAGGTGAGAACGGCCCGGGGCGACTCTGGAGGGGCATGTGGGCTCCCCGCTGCATGCGCCCCACCCTGGAGGGGACGGCAGCTGCCCCTGCAGGGGCCCAGGCCCGGGGCCAGTCCTCACACCAAGCTGACGCCAGCAACAGTCGGAAACCCAGCCAGTCTCCCCCAGAAACAGCTTCCCGGCACCTCTGGCCTGGACACTCCGGCCAAGCGTCCCCCTTGCTTCGCTTTCAGAAGAGCATTCCGACTCCGAGTCGGACTGAAGGCCTGCCCCGCCCCGGCAGCCCGAGCCGCGCGGGCCCCCACTGCTGCACCTCGGGACCGGGCGGCCGACCGGCCAGGGCACCGCGCGTGTTGCGAGAGCAGCGCCGACCTCTCCAGCGCCAGCGGGAGCTGCTGACGAGCTGGCCTCCTCAGGGCCCCAGGGTGACACGCCAAGCCCGGCACCCTCGGCCGAGCACCCTCGGCCGAGCACCGTCTAACCGCCGCGCACGCGGGGGCATCGTGAATATTCCGCCACGTCTCCTCGTTTCTGCCCCACAGACCTTAAGCCTTGTAACCTCTCTGCCAAAAATAAGCACAAGGGGACAGAGCTGACGGAGCCTTGTTACCTCCGTCACAGGAAGCATTTCATGCTGGGGGGCGGGGGGGGGGGTAGGACCGAAGCCACCACAGGGCCCACCTGCTAGGCCCCAGGGATTTTTGTCTGCATTTGGTGTCCCACTCATGCGAGGCACTTTGTCGAGAATGATCCTTCCAAGATTCTCTTGTTCAAGGAACACCAGAACCCTCTTCATTTCTGAAGCAGGGAGAAAACCGACCTTTGCTCTCATCCAGGAGCGAGCAGGTCAGGGTGCCTGTTATGGGGAGCCACGTCTTCTCCGGGTGGTATGACAGTTGTACCAGGTCCAAAAGGTCAAGGGTACCTAACCGTGAAGTAACTGACAGCGTTCTGGGGGGCTGGGCAGGCCCAGCCGATCCCTCTTTCCTGGGGGCCCAGGAGCAGGCGAGGGGCTCTCGGGCACTCAGGATGACAGGTTTCTCGACACCTGACTGCCTCTCGAGAGGGGAGCTGTGCCTTCTGTGTTGACCTAGAGACATGTGCTGCGTGTGTATGTTCAATGGGATTTTGTAACTTTATGTAATTTTTTTTTTTTTACACAAAAGTAGCTTTTTAAATGGCATTTCCTCTGACCCAAGAAGCCTCATGAATGAGCCAGATCTGGACCCATGTCTTGGGCATTTGTAACCTTTGTTCTTCTCTTGCATGTGAAAAAAGCCTTAATGGATTAAAGCAGACTGACTGCGTGCTTGGAGTGTATGTTTGAAAACCCCTCCACCACCCAGAGCAGTGCGGGCACGTGTCCCGTCCGGCACAGACGGGGCCTGCCGCCGGTGAGCCCTGACGGCTCCGGGTTTCAGCAGCAGCGCGCATCTGCTCCACACCAGGACCCCACGCGTCTGACACATGTGCTCTCCCACACTCCTCACACAATCCTGGCTCGCAGTCCAGGAAACTAACAGAAGGTTCAGGAACTTGCCCAGGTTCACCAGAGCCCCTTGGAGGGGGCCCCGGGCTCTCTCACTTATGCGTCAGGGTAACGACCCAGGCACCTCTGCGGTGGCCCGAACCTGGGGCTCTTGTGGTTTGGAAACTGGTTGCATGAGAGACCTCGGAGTCGAAGCCTGGGAGGACCCTGAGTCGGCATTTGGCCCAGGCATTCTGCCCCGACTTTTGCACACGTTCGAAAACCTGTCTGAAAGTTGAGCGTGCAGATGCCGAGAGGGGTACACGGCGGGCGTTTCTGCTCCTCCTTGCCTGCCCAGCTGAGCCAGCCACACTGCCTGTCCACACCCATCCCGTGGCCTCTCTCGTGGACGCGGACTTTGTTCAGCCTCCACCTCCCAGGCCTGTTTCGGGAATGGGGTCCACACCTTTGAAGGGACAGAAGGGAAGTCAGAGGACAGAGACAATGCCACTTTTACGTGTCCATTTATTAAACAAAAACTCCTTCATGACGATTTAATACAATATTTATTAGCGATTAGTGTTGAGAAAATTATTTCCCTCTACATACAAAAATACAGATTTGAACACTATGAAAACGATCAGGACAAGTACCATGAAAAATAGGTCCTTCAAAAGAAATAAGGGGGCAAAATCGAGGGCAATGTGAGGCCCCTATCTGCTGTCGGACAAGCCACCACAGGCAAAGACTTTGGGGCCCCGAAACCACTCCACATGGATAGAGTCAAACCCACGAGCCAGGGTTCGAGAAGCCAGGAGACCCACCAACAGCATAAACCAACGTGTGCCAAATGGGCATCACCTCAGAATGCCCCACAGCTGTGTCCAAACCAGTAAAGGAAATAGATTTTTAAGAAGCAAAATGTGATAGTTATTAAATTAACATTGCCCCCCAAAGTGCCACCAGGCCAAGTAACAATGAATAATCGTATTAGAGTTATTAGCCATCTGACTTGACTTCCTTTGTTAAAATAATTACATATTCTGACCCTTCAAAAGGACAAAAAAGAAGCTACAACCGTTATGTTTCAATAAACCCATTCCTTCATGTTGCAACGACTCAGCTAGTTTACTCGAGATTTTTCTTGACCGGACAGAACCCGAGTCCTACGGGGGTGGGAAAGCCGAAGGAGCAGCTAGAGTGTTAGCCGAGTCCCGATTTCACCAAGCTCCTCATAGCAGGGCATCTATTTTGTCCAGGCAGAAAACCGGAAAGGGCCACCGAACCCCCCCGGCGCATCCATAAACCAACGTGAGGTCCCAGGAGAGGGCCAGCCGGCGGAGGCCACCGGGGCAGCCTGTCTCCCGCGGGCAGAGCGGGAGGGGGGGCCTGAGCCGGTCCGGGAGGACACCAGGCCCGAGAAGGCCCTCGGCCTCACCAGCCCGGTAATAACGGGGCTCTTCGCCGTTGCCGACCCAAAGCGGGGAAGTCAGAGCACTGCGGGTATCTATTCTTTTTTATGAAACCACTTTCCTCTTTCTGTTTGAGGTGAGGAGTTGCTCGCTGTAACTGACCAAGTAGTTTAAAAATGCCAAATGCAGTTATACTGATTAATAATTATTTCACAGAAATATACTCTTACTCTCAGACTGTTGAAATAAGCAGAAACAAGTCGTTGGGGAGAGAAAGCAGCAGAGAGGAGACAGGAATAGCCAAGGTGGGGTGGTTTTTTTTTTCTTTTTCAAAATACGTAACGAAGTTTAAAGGGATAATGGCCAAACCTCAAAACCATCATTGCTAAAAGCAATATTAAAAGGACACAATCGAAAATCATGCTACAAAAATAGTGTCATCTGGTTTAACTAAATGTACATCTTTTTTTCAATTCCATGATTGACAAGTGTTTATGTGACTGACACACGGAAGGCACCGAAGGTGAAGCGATTATTATTTGTCTTAAAATATACAAAGACAGAATTATCTACTTTGGGGAAAAAAAAAAAACATACAGTCATACCTGTAATAAATAGTTAAGTGTTTTTGCCACGGGTTCCTGAACCCCTACAAACTTCAACATATACAAATAGTTTCAATCCCTACATTCTCTTCGAGGGAACCACATCAAAATCAAGTTATTAAAAGCACTGGTTTTATCCACATACATCAGTTTCATCATGAGGCAGGATTGGAAAACTCATTTTGGGTTACAGAGTGAACCCGCCGGAAGTAGGCAGCCCCTGTGTGGGTCTGGGCCAGCTTGGGGGTCCATCCAGGCCTCCCGCTCTCGTCTTCCCCCAGGGAGCCGGCCCTCCCCCAGCCTTGGACCAGTCAGTTCTCCCTTTAACCCCTAATGATTTGCCTTCCTCGCTTCTGCAGGGGAACAGAGTCTCAAAACTTGCAAAACCGATTCTGGAAAAGGCAGGAAAGGAAAACGGCCCTCAGAGGGAGGCAGCCATCAGTTAGACCTGGCCCTGACTGGCATGGACACCAGGCCCCTACACTGTCCTCATTCCCTGGTAAAGCGGGGTGCTTCCTACTGGGGTTTAGCAGTGTCCTCCAAAGACAACTCAGATTTGACAGGTTCAGACTATTACCAAGTCCCATACAAACTATCCCCTGAAACAACTGTGTCACATCTTCTCTCCTCTGAGGCATAATTAGGAAAAGAAACTTCGGGCCTCGCCCTAATCCCATCAACAAAGCTGATTAAGGTCATTTGAGACAAGTTCCACTAGAACCATAAAAGTTCTGATAGTTCAGTACGGTCCAGGCTATTAACCCCTTAATGAAGGCTCTCTGGCCTTTGTGTACAATGCATCCCAAAGAAAACATGCCACTCCCAGCTGTCTAATAAGCAAGTCACCTGAATTAAAGTCTTGGCATAAAAATGTGGACAACAAACTAACCCTATGAAAAAGATGCACTATTAAAGGATCCATAATCTAAATTTTACTCTAGGCAAGTTGCCAGTGATTCAAGTTCAGTGGGCCTGTAGGTAACTTTTTTCTGTACTATTTATGGAATAAGAAAAACTAGAAAGGGGGAGAAAAAATCCCCAAGGTTGAGAAATGACATCCAATGGAATAAAAATATAATCTAGACCAAAGAAGGGAAAACATGTCAGGACCCATTCCTCTGTTTCAAGCCTAAGAGTGTATAAATGCCATTTACTGGTATAAGGAAAAGTCAAATGGAACATTCATTTTCAGAAAAAAATTCCAGATCTAACAGATACTGAGGGTGTTTTCTGTCAGAGGTGGTTTCTAAACAAAAGCAATGTACAGGGTCAAATATTTTTTTTTTTTTCAGGGTCAAATATTTCAAATTACCTTTTCAACCAGACAGTTCTTATGATCTCAGTAATATCTGCTGAGAAGAGAGGAAACAAGATTTTATAAAAAGTCAGGAAGGTTTGCAAAGCTCAAGGCAGGCAGCGTTAGGCCTGCATCCTCTCTAGGCACCCAAACCAGAATCTGAGTCACCCTGTCCAGACTCAACAAGACACCAAGAGCCCATCCAGAGCTCCAAGGCAGACTGGTCCCAACATCCAGCTTTTGTTCTCAGGCTGATTCCAAACACAAGACCTCATTTTTTCCAAAGCTAGAGGATAGGAAGGTAGTTCACCAAGTACATTTTTTCAAAATGTCCTGGGTCAGTCACCATGTGTGGTGTGATGAAGCGCCCCCCAGGACACAGTCTGGGTGCAGAGCCCCTCCCTCCCCTCAGCTCCCAGACCTGCCCCTGCCCCCACCTCTTCAGCCTGTCGCCCAGCTGGTCCTTAGAGTGGGTGCTGATAAGGTAAGAAAGACCTGAAGACAGAAGCCCCGGGTTCTGCAAAGTTCACTAGGAACTAAAAAAGCATCTGGGGACCTCACAAACCAATGGCAGTCCCAGGGGCAAGAAGCAACTTTTTATTTTGCTAGAGAGAATCAATGAGCAGTAGCCTTCAGCCTAGAAAGTGCTTTTTTTTTTTTTCCTGCCTTTTGCTACCCGTTTAATGTCATTATTTTCCTATAAACAAGATATGGAGAAAATGACAAGCAGTGGCAAAATGACTTCATGGTTGCTTGGTTTTGGACATGGAGGCACAATCGGGACCACTTAAATCATCACTGCCTTCCAGAATCACTGAACTGGCCACACGTTGCCTCCACACACTATCCATCTGTTAAGGCCAGTTCTGAGAACCCACAGAAAATCTTGCACAGCCAGAGATCAGAACTCGGTCCACCTCTTAAACACATGGAGGGGTGAGGAATTTCTTCCCAAAGAGCACATGAATGTTGACAAGAGAAGGTGAGCTGGGGCCACACATAGGACGTGACACACCGAGGCGTTATTCCAGGCTTACTGGGTGCAAGAATTCACACACGTGTGCAGACAAGAGTCAGTGCTTCCTCTCCCCGAGGGACTGCCTGTGGCTTAAGTAAAGTCTCAGTCACTAAGAGAGCCCCACAGAAAGGCAGATGAAACTGCAAACTTCAAGCGAGTAGACATGTTTTCAACGGAGTCAAAAGCTCTCACCAGAAGCATCCAACACATCGGACTGACTTCACGCCTACCCACGGGCAAGAGCGTCCCTGCCAGGCGACTGTCGCGGTGCCCTGAGGGCTGGGGCTGGGGTCCCCCCACTCCCCGCCACCGGCACACTGGCACTTGCAGTTCAGCTTGCCGAGGCAGACGAGGCCTGGGGACTGGACAGGCTGCTCCATCCCTGCCTTTTGGTAGGCAAAGGTCATCTCTCTTGGGTAAGTGTTGCTGCACAGAGTAAAAATCTAAAATAAAATACATCGAACTTCTCCGGTGAGATTTTAATCTGTGACTGCCTTCGTCCTTCCCTGGCTTTCTGTGAGGCCAACGAGTGTCTCTGGGCCTCCGTGACTGTCCTCTCTCTGTTTGCAAGGGGAAGACCTCTCCCTCCAATGCCTTCAGCAGTGCGAAAGGATTCAGGAGACTCGGAGGGAAAAAAAATACCACATCAACCAAATCAGTGCCAAGATCAACTTTCTCTGAAGACGTCAGCGTTTGCATCCATCTCAAACCACCCCAGAGGTTCCACCAAATGCTTGTGGGTTTCAATCATACAGTGTCCAGGAACAAATTCCAATTTACACAGCAACTGCAGTTCCCATCAAGTCTGGCACCCACTATGAATGCCAGCATCATCCTACCAGAAAATTGAGAAACACTAAGATTGCCTCAGCCTCAAAATGCCCCAAACCATATGCATGTGGTCCATATTGGAACTATTAAATGCACAAATAAGCTTCCTTCGATTTGCAAAAAAAAAAAAAAAAAGTCCTGGTAAGCCCCCCGCTAAATCTAGATTGTCCTGTTTGTACACAGAGGCAACACAAGGCAAATGCAAGCGTCGTCACACTCGCCCTAGACAGCCAAATTCCCTCCACGAGCACTCACGTCACACGAATGTCACCGGGTCACCTGGGTTAGAGAGCTAGGAGCAGGCCTGGCCGCTGCTGGTTGTCCTGGGAGCTAATTAAATATAAAGAAATATATTTACAAAAACCATGGGGGAGCCTCATGGCACAAAGGATATTAAATAGTTACAGGGACATAAATAATTCCAAAGATTCTACACTACGATGCAAACTGACTATAAGTCCCTCTGTGGCACAACGTGCCATCACTTTTTATCACCTGTAAGCATTTATAGTTTCGATGGGCTTCAGAACCCTTTCTTGCAGCTTTCAACACGTCCTCAGGAGACCAACAGGCCCTTTTTCACCAGATGATAAACTGACTTTATTGCAGTGACTTGGGAAAACTTGGGCAACGATCCTGCCTGAGTGGTATTGTTTTTTTCGATCTCACTTCAAAGGCGGCTTTTTATTGAGGCCAAGTAACATGATTCCCAACAGATTTCTGATAAAGTTCAGGGTGGTCCTTCCAAGTGGGCCCTGCTGAATGCAAGGCTGAGTCTTCGTGACCCTGTTTCTAATTGGAACTCTCAGAGGGAGATGAGCCCATTTTTGACGATGCAGACACACTCAACAAATGCAAAATAAATACACAAAATGAACAGATAAAATCCAGATGTCCTAATCTCCTCCGAAGTCACTACATCTACTAAGTTCAAAGTCTGCGACGCATGACTGGCACAGCCTCACAACACACACGGGCAGGGGGCTCGATTGGACCCGGGTGGGAGCAGGGGGTCTGCACGGGCAGCCCGCCGCCCGGGACGCAGACGAGCTCGCACGTATGACCCAGGCCGCTGCCCCGGAAAGGAGCCGCAGAATTCGGATCGTACCGGGTGGCCGGTCCAGGGGGCTCACCGCTCGCCCCGACCCTTCAGCCATGGAACTGCAGGCCGAGCAGGGGGACCTGCACTGGGAAATCAGATGCGCTGGACGCCTTCTCACACGCGCTGGGCCCCCCACCGGCCGGCACACTCACGTTCGCTCCCCCTTACACGGCGCCCTCCACCGCTGCCGTCGGTCACCGCTAGGTGAGGTCCCGGGGGCTCTCCCCGGGCTGCACACTCGTCCCCCGAGCAGGCCGGGTCTCCTCCCGGGGGGACGGCTAACCGCAGACTAGTAGAGCGGGAAGGAGGTTTGTAAACATTAACAACAGTTCAGAGAGGGAAAACCCGACAAGGTAAAACAATTTTTCCGTGAAAGATACAATTAGTCTCCAACAGGAAAAATACAAAGGACAAAAAACACTACAGCATCAGAGGGGCTCGCTGAACACTCACCACATAACCTTCACTTTCTCAAGAATCCATTCGAAACCTGACGTAACTAGAATTTTTCCCAACAACTTCCGAGATCAGCGTCCACAGTGCGGACCCTGAGGCACAAAAGCCAGAGCCTACGCCTTCTGAAACATCAGAGAAAGGATGTGTCGTGGTGGAAATTCAAGTATTTTCAAATCCTAGACAAACCTACTCAGAATCACTTCACAACTGTCGTCAGGCATTCAAAAATTAGCACACATCCCTAAAACAGAGGTGGGTCCCCACCTGTGGTCCATGAAGCCAGCAAATGGGCAAGCATTCTGGCTGCTGGAATGGATTGTATTTTTTGTGTGTGACTTTTACCTGAGAAGGTAAAATTGCAGCAAGTCTGCAATTCAGCCTCCGGGTAGTAAGGGTGGGTAGCAAACTGGAAAACAAGATGGTCCCATATTCCTGGAGGAGGACGTGGGAGTCGGGGAGGTGATGCACTGGAGGAACAATCGAGTGATTTCTGAGCAGGGCAGGAAACGACGGGCGACCTTCCCGCAGGGCAGCGGGCCTGCCGAGCTGTGCCAACAGGACAGCAGCTCTTCCCATCCCCGAAGAGTCCAGACCCGGCAAACAGCTCCACCAGCCACCCCTGGCCAGACCCTCAGTGTCTCCCGCGGTGTACCGGGCCTGCGCTGGCTGTCTCGACGGCCCAGGGATGGAAGACGAGGAGGAGCAGGCGAGGGTCCAGGTAGCAGGACCACACGCTGCCCTGCGGCCCTCGAGGGGCCTGCCCAGCGATCGCTGCTGACTCTTCCAACCCTGCACCTTCATTCCTTGATTTTTTACCCCTCCTAGCAGCTCCCATTAATCCAAAGTCTTGACTTGTCGCAAAAACCTGTGACAGGGTGGCGCAGAGCCAGATGTGAAGCCTGTGCTCGGGGACAGTGAGGACCTAGAGGAGACATGGCAGCCTGTGAGGCCCCTCCCGCCCACCTCTGTCTCAGCAGCTGAGTATGGGGCTCCCCGCCTTGCAGACCCACCGACAGGGCCACTCTGAAAACCCTTTCCTGGAAGGAACTTCTACCAAAGAGGACAAAATTCAGCTTAATCACAGGAAAATCTGACGTGACGAGGGAAAGAAAACTTGGTTGAAAGGCTGGGCACAAGGATGAGAGGGAGGAGGGCTCCGCAGTTGGGCTCATGTGTCCAGGTGCTGGATCTCGGGGCGACCGTCCACATCTCTGGACTCCGTGCGGGCTCGGATGTAGTCACTGGCGCTCTGCTGGTGGACGCTGACTCTCCACTTCTGCACTGCCAGGAATGTGTTCACCGCATACACCGCAGTCGCCAAGAAGCCAAATATCTACAAAACACAGGCACGGTTAGTCCAGACACAGTAGCCTTCGACAGGGTGTCCAGGCACGAGCCGCTCACGTTGACCCGAGCTGTACCCACAACGCCCGGACCCACTGCCATCTGGCTGTCGGACTATGGCCAAGTGCATAGTTAAACATGACTCCCCGAAAGTCCTGCCTGACCTGAAGACAGCCTAAGGGTTCTCTTCAAGTATTCTGGATCTATTAAACACACACACACACACAAATCACAGAAGTACCTCTTTTTCATGGTCCCAGATAAGAAAGTACAACGTAGCCAAAGAACCAAACAGAAAATGAGGGTCTCATGTGTGAGATGCCCACCAGGCCACAATGGCTGACATTCCAAATCACAGCCCCCAGGCCTCCACCTGCTGCCCAGCTTGCCCCGCCCGTGGGCAGCTCTGAGGTAAGCAGCAGCAGAATTGTAATGGTTTGCTAAAGACAGATCAACCTACTGAGTGACACTTGGGAGAACAGCTGGTTTCATGTTTTTTACAAACCTTTTAAACTGCCCTTCACCGTTGCAAAAGTGCTGCATATTCATTATAAATAGAGAACAATACAGAAATGCAAAGCAGAGAATCAAAGTCTTACGTGATCTGGTTCCCACCCTACTCCCAAAGGCATTCTACCTTGAAGAGCAAAAAGATGTCGTCTGGCTGCCAAATGGTGTCAAGACTGCCCTCTCCTTCGTTAAGATCCCCACACTGGCAGATAAGGCTCTTACCAGCAACATCACTAACAGACATCCAGGGCTCTGTTGGGAACAGACTAAAGGAGCCATTCTCAAATCGGAGTGTGCACCTGAATCACCTGGGAGGCTTGTTAAAACATATTTCTGATTCAGGGGCTCCTGGGTCGCACAGTCGGTTGAGCTTCCGACTCTTGGTTTTTGGCTCAGGTCAGGATCTTAGGATCATGAGATCGAGCCCCGCATCAGGCTCTGCGCTCCGCACGGGGTCGGCTTGGGCCTCTCTCTCCCTCTCCCTCTGGCCCTTCCCACTGTGCTCTCTCTCTCTCAAATAGATAAATAAATCTTTAAAGGGGGAGGGGGACATTTCTGATTCAGTAGCTCTGAGGGAGCCTGGGAATGGGATTTCTAAAAAGTTCCTTGGTGATGCGGAGGCTGGTCTTCTGGGGACTACACTCTGAGAACCACAGCACAGAAGGAAGCAGGACCTCAACTGGCTCAGTAACAACATCATCAGCAAAGAAAAAGTTCGAGAAGAATGAGCAGGACACATGCTAGGGGACAGAGGCGAGCGAGTCACGGGGTGTACAAATCCGCCTGTGTTTTAACCAATGCAGCTCACTCACCACGGCAGCAATTTCCGCTCCGGTCTTGTGGTTCAGAGCAGCTAATACAATCGAGGCAATAAAGAAAAAGAAAGTGCTGAGTCCAGTGTTGACCAAATCCTAAAGAAAGAGATAAAGTCACTTGAAAAGAATTACTTCATGCTTTGCCCTAAAAGCAGCTGAAGGATTTTCAAAATAAGGAGCACAACATCCAGCCTCTCTTATGGTTCCGTATTTTAGTCCTGATGGCCCAGGGGTACTGGACCCATGAAGGAAGGGGAAGATGGTAGCAGCGTATGGCGTGTATCGCCTGATCTATCACCACGGCAAAATTCACGTTTTAACCAAGCACGCTGTCATTCCTTAATGAATTATTATAGAAACCCAAACGGACTAACCCATCAAGGACATGCCTGTTAACTACTGTTTAGAATTCTATTGTCATCTTCTAAAAATACGCTCGAATCACCTTTCATTTGCATGGACAACACTCCCCAGGAGTCCAGAACGTACCGAAACTGGTGAAATCCCCTCCAACATCCCCTCATTCACATATGACATGATAAGTGCACTGTTTTCAGGCCTAGACAACACCCTTAGCCAGACCTCATGCTCTTTCCTATGCGTGGTCTTTCAAGGCTCTATGTGGCTAAAACCTAGAGGATTTTCTCGTAAGCTTTCTGAAAAGCAAATGAGGTTACTATCCAATGCTTCAAAGATTTAACTCTAGTCAGGGCGCCTGGGTGGCTCAGTTGGTTAAGCCACTGCCTTCGGCTCAGGTCATGATCCCGGAGTCCCGGGATCGAGCCCTGCATTGGGCTCCCTGCTCGGCGGGGAGTCTGCTTCTCCCTCTGACCCTCCCCCTTCTCACGCTCTATCTCATTCTCTCTCTCAAATAAATAAAAAAAAATCTTTAAAAAAAAAAATGCTCAGTTCTGGGTAAGGTGCTGTAGGGACAAGGAAGAAGATAAAATGTATTTTCTGAACCAAAAACTATTCAGAAGTAGGGGGAACGTTTTATGATTCGATGCTGAGGCCAGATATCAAACAAAACTGTATATACATTAGGGGTGACTACGTAAAAATATAAATGTGGTCAAGGGCCTGTACGCATTAAAGAGGTTCATGTTGTTTGTCTAGGATGTCCACATTTGGAAATTCATCTTAAATACCACACTAGTGCAGAAAGGTCTCAGTGTAAGGATGTTCGTCATAGAACTTAAAATCGCAAAAAAATGGGGAAGCAAACAAAATGCTCACGAACAGGATTTGTGAAATAAAACGGTATCGCCACAATGGAACACTATGCGGTCATTAAAAATAATGATATAGTTGTACATTTAACATGGAATATACTTAAAATAGTTTAAGTAAAAAAGCATGATTCTGACGGTTCCGTTCTTCCCCCCCCTCACACATCACAACATACATGCCTATGGAAGAGCTAGTTCACATGGTCTGGAAGGTTGTCACACCAAGTGACGCAAGTGGTAACCCTGATGCGTTGTATCATGTGTGACTTTTTAACGGCTTCAGTGAGATACAACTCATATGCCGTATAAGACGCCCAATTAAAATGGACAATTCAATCACCATGATCTAGTTTTAGAACATTTTCAGCACTCCATTAGCAGGTAATTCTTCATCCCTCCCCTAATCCTAGGCAACCACTGCTAACCTGCTTTCTGGCTCTGTGGATCTTCCTATTCTGGACACTTCATATAAACAGAATTATATAATATGTGGTGTTTTGTGACTGGCTTCTTCCACTCAGGATGATGGTTCTAAGGATCACTCACGTTGGAGCATGTATCAACACTTCACTCCTTTCTAGTACTATGTTGTAGTCCACTGTATGGATACGCCACATTTTATCTACCTTTTCACCAGTGTTTGGACATTTGAGTTGTTTCTACTTTCCAGTTGTTTTAAATAACCCTACTATGAACTTACAAGCTTTTGGGTAGACATATGTTTTCACTGGTCTTGGATCACCCACATGATTTTATTTTTTTCTTTTATTATCTGCATGTTCCAGCTTTTCTGTAACAGACATTGCTCTGCACAGTTTATAAGGCTTAAACATGGGGCGCCTGAGTGGCTCAGTCGTTAAGCGTCTGCCTTCGGCTCAGGTCGTGATCCCAGGGTCCTGGGATCGAGCCCCGCGTCGGGCTCCCTGCTCCGCAGGAAGCCTGCTTCTCCCTCTCCCACTCCCCCTGCCTGTGTTCCCTCTCTCGCTGTCTCTCTCTGTCAAATAAATAAATAAAATCTTTTTAAAAAAATAAAAAATAGAATGCTTAAAATTGGAATACTGCAGGTGTTGGTCAGCATCAACTACTTGAGTTCTGTGTCCACGAAACAAAAATCAAGGCTTGTAGGTTCACCCTTCACATTAGGGAGAACACAGACACGCCCTCTGACTGGGCTTTGGGGGTTTGTAGTCAACAACGGTGATTAATCTTTTTTAATGCTTTTACTGGGACGTGTACTCTATCAGCCACATGCTTTCCAGTTTGCCCCAGCCGTCCCCACTCCCTACGGTCTCACAGCCCCCCCCCCCACTTCATGCTTCCGGTCTGGCCCCCAGAACACTCAAGGCTGCAGCCCCTCCTTGTGCTAGGGGATGAAGAGGAAATCCGCCCTCACACACACACACTCCCGGCTGTCTCCTTCAGTGACACACCGGCAGGTACAGGGGTGAACCCCTGTAACTCCAATAATGGGTCAACAGGATGTGGCCTAGAGGGTGTGAACCCAAGGCCCACTGGCCGTATCTGGCCCAAGGACGGGTTTGACTTGCACGGCATTCAAAACAAATTTGAACATGCCAACACTTAAATACCAGAAGACTGTACATAAAAAACGGACTTCTTAAAAGAAAAAAAGAAGCTTCTAGCTGCTCTTGAAAAGCTGTTCCCGAAGTGCCCTAAAGCAACTACACAGTCAGCTGGGGCTGGGGAAGAGAACGACCTGCCCCATCTCCCCATCTCCCTGTCTCCCCATCGCCCCACCTCCAGCTCATGTTCTCAGAGGCCCAGCCCCAGCAGGCCCTGAGTCTCCAACCCCGCTCCCGTCCCAGAGAATGGGCCATCCAGCAACGTGCCCTGTCCCCCCCCCACACCCAGTGGGCACCCACTCATCTTTCCAGGCCCGGCTGGCACCGGGCTTTTTCTCTGAACAACCCCTGCTGACACCCATTCCAGGCTTCTGCCCCGAGGAATCTACGACCTCCTTGCCTGGGTTCCACCAGGCCCCACACAAAACTGGATCTTACGGAACACACTTACCAAAGCGCGAGCAGCTTGCATCGACCTGCCCTGTGCTTTCGGTTCCCAAATCCTGGCACAAAGCAGGTGTCCAATACACGGCTGCTGGCCTGACCACAGGGGAGACGGCTGTAAACAGGCTCAGCCCCAGGCTCTCACTGCGGTCGCTCCCAAGCCACCGGGCTCTGTGGCCGGCTCTGGTGTGAGCTCTACACGTGCACGAGACAGGAAGTTCACAGCCACTAGTCCACGCATGGACTTGTGCTCGAGTGGCCCCAGTGCCAAAGGGACGGTCATAAAACACTGACAACAGTGGCATATACCCTCCGTGGAATCCCTGTTGTGTCAAGTGTGTGTGTGTGTGTGTGTGTGTGTGTGTGTGTTACGTCACCAATCCTCGCCTAATTATGATCCAAAATACGTATAAAGCAGGAGAGGTGCTAGTTTGTCCTACTTTTACAGGAAAAGATGAGTACGGTATGATAAAAAATATGTATTTGGTCTTTGTCCCCAGTTTCTTGGCATTTCCTGAGTGATGATAGGAGTGTCTTTTGTGATTCATAAGGAGCCCCTCTCAACCACTCCTGAGCTTATGGTAATGAGGTGAGTCTGGGGAGCCCCCCTGGATAGTTTCAGGATGGGAGCTGGTTACCAGAAAAACCAACCAGGCTGTTAGAAGGTTGGAACTTTCAGCCCCACCCCCACCAACCTCCAGGGAGGGGAGAGGGGCTAAGGATTGACTTCAACCTCCAAACGGCCGATGATTTTAACTCCATCATGCCTACGTAATGAAATCTCCATGAAAACCCCCGAAGGACGGTGTTCAGGGAGCTTCCAAGCTGGTGACTATATACCTATGCTGGGAGGGTGCTGTACCCCAACTCCGTGAGGACAGAGGCTCCAGCACGTTGAGACTCTTCTGGATCCTGCCCTATACATACGCATCTCTTCCATCTGCCTGTTCCTGAGTTGCATCCTTTACGGCAAACCAATAAGCACAGGTAAAGCACTCTTCCCAAGTTCTGTAAGTTGCTCTAGAGAATTATGAACCTGAGGAGGCAAATCTGCAGTTGGTGCAGGTCACCTGGGAGCCCCGCTGGTGGCAGGTGTCTGAAGCAGGGGCAGTCTCATGGGACTGAGCCCTTCTCCCGGGGGTCTGTGCCAACTTTAAGAGTTAGTGTCGGAACGGAGCTGAATTTTTGGACACCTCGTTGGTGTCAGAGAATTAGAGAACTGCTTGGTGTGGAAAAACTACACAGATTTGGTGTCAGGAAAAAAAAAGACATATATTTGGTGTGAAAAGTGGTGTCAGGAAACACTATACCATGAGTCATGGCCAAGGCCTTGGGGCTCTGCAGGTGGCCCCGCTGGGTGACTCAGACTATCCCCACTCAACACCCAACCTGGGTTCTTGATTGTGAAGGTCTGTGGGGTGAGCAGGGGCCACTGAAGCACTGAGAAGGAGCACCAAGGAGGAAGAAGAACAGCCAGGACAGTGTGGTATCACGGGAGGCAGAGTGGAAAATACAGCAGGAGGCACAGAACATTCCATGGCAATTCTCACACTGTTCGGTGGGGGTGGGGCGGGGGAGAACTGAGGAAGAGCCAGGGGATCCAGGAACATGGAGGCCCCAATGACCCCGACCAGAGGACTTTCAAGGATGTCAAGTTTATCTCCCGACCCAGACGGGTGGCTCCACAATCTTTACCATTCTTTATTCAACTGTACATTTTATTTTTTATTTTTTAAAGATTTAATTTATTTATTTGACAGAGAGAGACAGCGAGAGAGGGAACACAAGCAGGGGGAGTGGGAGAGGGAGAAGCAGGCCTCCCGCTGAGCAGGGAGCCCAATGCGGGGCTCGATCCCAGGACCCCGGGATCATGACCTGAGCCTAAGGCAGACGCTTAACGACTGAGCCACCCAGGTGCCCCTCAACTGTACATTTTAATGAATTTTTCTGAGTGAGCTGTATTTGACAGTAAGAGGTGAGAAAAGAGAAATGAGGAGGAGGGAAGCAGAGAACAGAAGTGCAGACCTCCCTCCTTGTTAGGAAGTTCGGCTAAGCAGTCCGTGAGGGACTCAGAGTGCTGGCTAAGGAGACCAGGAGCCCCTAGCAGCTTTCAGTGGCAGGCAGGGAATGGAGGGAGAGGGCTGGGGTGATGGAGGAGGCCTAGGGCACTAACTAAACACAGGTGGGACACAAAGGTGTATAAGCCTCTAATACACAGAGAAAAACAAGTATCGCAGGATAAGTCCCACAGATTCATCAAAAACAAGCAAACCCAGAGCTAACAGAAGCTTTCTGCTTGCATCACATAATGCTTGTATAAAATATACACTTTGCATCTTCCTCCTTATTTACCATTTTCCATGATTATTTTTGTGTCAACATATGCTCATGAAATGACCATTTTTCTAATTCTATACCAATCACACCCTAGTTCACTCATTAGTTGGCTCTACTGAGGACAAAATATTCCCACCACCTTGTTAGAGAAACACAGCACGGTCAAGGCCAGCCCTCTGGAGCGACTCAATGAACTGTGTCCAGCCCTGAAGAACTCACTTATTCTCCCCTCCTAGAGAACAGATGACCTGAGCTCCCCTAAGTAAGTACCACTTCCTCAAGTTCATGTACTCATGCATTCTTCTGTTGAATAAGCATACACCTTCATCTGCTCTGAAAGGGTGGAAATTCTGGAAAAGATCCCAAAGGACTGAAACTGTTCTCAAGTGACAATATCAGCCAGGCGTTTGCCCCACCCAACGCCGTCCAGAAGAAAAGGACGTATGTGAACTTTCCAGTGAAAAAGATGCACTTCAATATGACCCAATAATGTGGTAGTCAACAAGCAGGAAGCCCTTCATGTTTAAAATAGAAGAATCAGAATTCCCGAATGCTCACTAAAGAGGTATTTCTGGGGATAGAGACCAGTATGAATTAGTTACTAAGTTGCAGAATGAGGTCTTTTAACAGATTTATAGTCAAATCAGTAGATAAGACTGAATTAGGGGAGTGAAGTCAAACCTGGCAGAAGTCTGCAGGGGGAACATGTGGCTGATAGGAAACAAGGGATCGTCGCTTGCGGTAATACTAACATCTCTCGGACTGGCGGCAGCGCACGCTGGCTTGAGGTCCCTTATACACACGGTCTCATTTCATTCTTAAAACAAGCCTCTAATGGGGCGCCTGGGTGGCTCAGTCGTTTAGCAGCTGCCTTCAGCTCGGGTCATGATCCCAGGGTCCTGGGATCGAGTCCCACATCAGGTTCCCTCCTCGGCGGGAAGCCGGCTTCTCCCTCTCCCACTTCCCCTGCTTGTGTTCCTGCTCTCGCTATCTCTGTCTCTGTCAAATAAATAAATAAAATCTTTAAAAAAAAAACAAGCCTCTAAAATACTATCATCTCCACTTTACCAATGGTGGCCTTCAACACGGGGCTCTAAGTGACCTGCCCAGGGTCCCACACAGCCCTTAAGAGCCCCCCTACATTTGAACACAGATCTGACTCAAAGGCCCTGGTCTTAACCTTCCCGGCAGCCACCTCTTTGTCAGATAGGCCTTCTACCACTCGCATTTTGGTTGCAGGAGGTTTATGAGGTTCTCCTATGCTGTCAACTCTGTGGGCAATTTTTTTTTAAAGATTTTATTTTTAAGTAATCTCCACACCCAACATGGGGCTCGAGCATATAGCCCTGAGAACAAGAGTCGCACACTCCACCGACTGAGCCAGCCAGGCACCCTTGTGAGAATTTTCTAATGGAGAAGACAAACTTTATCTTAAAAATAGCTGAGATGCTATGGGGCGCCTGGGTGGCACAGTCGGTGGAGTGTCCGACTCTTCGTGATCTCGGGGTCATGAGGTCGAGCTCTGCATCAGGCTCCGTGCTCAGCACGGAGTCTCCTTGGGTTTCTGTCTCTCTCCCCCTCTATCCTTCCCACCCCTCTTGCCCTCCCTGCCCCCCGCACGGATGCGCTCTCTCTCTCTCAAATAAATCTTTCTTTTTTTTTTTTAAGATTTCATTTATTTGACAGAGAGAGACACAGCGAGAGAGGGAACACAAGCAGGGGGAGGGACAGAGGAAGAAGCAGGCTTCCCGTCCAGCAGGCACCGAAGTGTGAGGCAGCTGATGGTGCTTTCCTGTGACTCTCTGACTGATCCCCTTTGAGCTCTTGCACATGCTTGTTTGCAAAGACACGTCAAGAAAACCAAGTGCTTCATCTAGAACTAATGATGTAATGTATGGGGATTAACATAAGAATAAAAAAAAAAAGAAAAAAAAAGAAAACCAAGTGCAACTAAGTTTCCTTTCTCATTTAGCAGGATAAGGAAAAGTAACACAAGATGGGCCAGGACAGGACCAGCCCGGAGCTTTCCATGCCAATCTGAAGGTAAGGCTGTCAAAAGAGGGTTGAGAACCCAGACCCTCGAGAGCACATGCTTCTGATCAAACCACCAAACCTTCCGCGTCCTCCCACTTGCTTTGAATTTAATGCTAATCCTAGGCTTTGCAAGTCACCGGCACTTTCATTCCTATTTTCAATTCTTCCTGAATCAATACTTTTGTAAATGGCTTTTGGGTCCAGTGTGAAAAATATGCAAACGTTTTAATTCCATTTTTCTCTTCCCAGGTTCTATAAATATCAACATTACCAATCTTCTCAGAGGATCATTAAATTGAAATGACATCTTTAAAGGGGTCAAAATAATTGTTATATGATGGTTCTACCATTACTGAAGATTCAATTTACTTTATAGTTTTACTCAACCCAGTAAAGACAGTTAAAATTTCACAGCTGCATTACAATAAAGTAAGTATCAAAATGAACTGGAACCAAACAAGATTGCAGAGAGATTCCAGCTTGCCCCTGGAGCCGAGGAGCACCCAATCCTTTCAAGGTCAGAGAGTGGTGGTGACTTGTACTCACTGTCAGGTTCCAGTTGATCTGGGGGATCCTCATGTGAAGGTTCAGACTGAACAGAATCAGCAAGACTCCAGTCACTACAAACGCACTACAGCTCACAAACTCAAAAAAGTAGAGGCCTTCACACGGGGAGCACTCCATGATGGTCTCTATGCAGACGAATGCAATCAGGGCCAAAATCTACGAAGAAAATTGGAAACACACACATGTGTGTATATTTAGTACACATCCATGGACATATGTGCCTGCCACATTTATTTTTTTTTTTTAAGATTTTATTTATTTATTTGAGAGAGAGAGAATGAGAGAGAGAGAGCATGAGAGGGAGGAGGGTCAGAGGGAGAAGCAGACTCCCCGCTGAGCAGGGAGCCCGATGTGGGACTCGATCCCGGGACTCCAGGATCATGACCTGAGCCGAAGGCAGCCGCTCAACCAACTGAGCCACCCAAGCGCCCCTGTGCCTGCCACATTTAAATAAAACTCCACCACCACCACATGCGGCCAGTGTTCCCCTGGGGACGACAGTATCGCTGTCAGCAATATGATCTGATGAAATTCTTATGGAACACCAGCTATGGAGGCCTTAAGGAAAGGATCGAATTCCTAACGTGAACACCTACACCCCACTGCAGTCCCCGGACACTGTTGGGGTGAGGCTCGGCCCTTGGGAGGAAACAGTAAGGAACGGCTCTGCGATGTTTTTGGTTCTTCCTCCGCCACTAGTAAGTGGACGCTGTCGACACACGTTTCTAATTTCTAGTCCCTACCACAATTATGCCAAACATCGAGAGGGTAGGGTCCAAATGGTGTCTGTTTATGCCATCTGCAACTACCCTGGGGGTTCAGGCAGAGGTCACGCAGGCTGACTGTGACCCCGGAGGGCTGTAAGACAGAGAAGGGTATTATCTCCTCTTCTCCCAATTATAAGCGCCTAAAATCGAGGCCCACCTAATTCATTCACGAGCTGTGCTTTTCAAAAGTGATCACTGGACTTAGCCATTAGAAAGTCGGAATGGAGGTTTATAAAAACATTGAAAAATCTACCAATAATGGCACCAATTTCTCCCTGAAGGACCAAAGTAACGTTCCAGCAATATGTCCCAAGAGAATGGAGATCATCGTCAAACAGGTATGAATGGAAATTACCAGGTGAGCTTTTAAAGGTAGATTTCAGGACAAGGAGGCAGCCCAAAGGCTGAGTTGATGGCCCAGTGAGCAAAGAAAGGTCAGGTGGTCTTGCACCTAAAACCAGATCAGTCTTGGGCTCCTGGCCTCTATTCTAGCACTTTTCTAACCAAGCACCTCACAGCCCACGACACGTCCAGCCTGGGCCAGAACCTGAGGCGAGCCCCCACTTCAAAGGTCCAGGACGTGTAGGCAGGCGGCTCTGTGGTCCCAGATCTGTCCTCAGAGCCAGCAACATCAGCATCACCAGGGAGCCGGAGAGAAGTGCAGAATTTCTGCCTCTCCCCCTTGACCTACAGAGTCAGAATGGTTGTGGGTTTTTTTGACAGGATCCCCAGATATTCAAGTGTGGGAAACATATAAGGCACAGGCTATTCTGTGGCCCCCCTCTGCCACCTGGAGTCCCACGCATGCCTTTCAGTGCCGCACTCAATGCCACCTCCTCCCAACGCCTTCCCTGATTGTCTCTCCTCCTGACAGACATTATTTGATTCCAGTCTCTCCCAGGGAAGCTTGTTCATCTATGATTGCATTCTACCCTTTTTTATACTTGCCATATGCCTCCCTCTGCCTCCTGAGCTCTCTGAGGGCAGCGGCCAGCCCATCTCTCTCCACCCGAAACACCAAGCACTGTTACTTGCACACCGCCAGCTAATAGGGGGGTTGGGGGCACTAAAAACCCACACCCACAACTGCTGACATGCTTGGCAGGGTCTCCACGTAAAAGGCAGGGCAGGGCAGCTCTGCTCTATCCATTACCAATACTCCTGCGCAGGAATCATAAAGACACCTCTCCTATCAATATGGGGTTCTGTTAAGTCAGGGTATTAGAGACAGGGCTCTTTAAGCACACACTTTGTCCTTTTCCTAATGGCTCTTTTAATTTTCTATAGAACCAGAGACTTGAATTCTCCCTCTGAATTACATGCCTGACTTGCAATCAATTCACAAAGAAGTAGTTCATGTAAGGGAAACTCCTCAACTTTTTCTTCCCCCTGTAATTGGATCTAGTAATCTTGGGCAAAAAATAACACACTGTAATGATGAGTTACAAATGTTTCTGGTATGCTAACTTCAACCATATTTGTGTGGGAAGGTAACACCTACATCCTACATTCTTAAATATTAAAATAAAAAAGTTTCAAGAATATGCAAATCTAATAGGCCACTCAATGCAGCGGTGAACAAAACAGAAATCTGCTCTCTAGCTCATAGTCTAATGAAGGAGAAGCTTTTAAAAATGAAATTAGAAGTACTGTATGATAGGCACTGTGAAGTGCAAAGGGGAAAAAAATCAAAGCAGGAAAGGATAATGCAATGTAACTAGGGCAAAGGTGTTTGAAGTTTTAGGGAGTGACATGGAAGGCCTCACTGAGAAGGTTCTAGATTTATTACAAAGTTTATTACAGTCTATTACAAAGGATAGTCAAGTGAAAGAGAACTTCAACTGCCTCCATTCTGACCTCAGTCTGTAGTCTGATGCGTTCCTTCAAGCTTATCTCTCCACTCAGGAAAAACACCCTGCAGGCAAAGCAGTCCCCGTGTTGGAAACCAAAACTACCCCCTCAAGCAACAGGGCCTGCCCTGGGCCAGCAAGACCCCGTGGGGTTGACCCCAAGAGAATCATGGACCTGACCTTTACGGCCCAGCGGCCTGTACCTACAACCTTTGTCCCACATTTTCCTCACCTACACCTAGAAGCGATGTCTGTCTTCCCGGTGTCGGCCTCACTGAAATAAATTCCTTTCTAGTCTCACCACCATCGTCTCTCTGCCTTTGGATTTTGTCAGTGGCCAGTAGCCAAACCAGGTCTGTGGGGAACACCTGGAGCCACGTGCTCTGATACCACGTTACAAAAGGATATGGCTGAACAGCAAATGAAGATACACAGGGCAAGGTCCAAAAGGGTCCTGGCACTGCTCATCTCTTGCGTTCAAGTTTTTATAGAGCTCATTCTGTAGCCCCCTTCCCCTTCCCAGAGATGAGCTGGGTTGAAAGCTCCAACTCTCTAATCACATGGTCAGTTCCCTGGCAACCAGCCCCCAGCCCGAGAGTCCCTTCATTAACACAAACTCAGATGTGGTTGAAAGAGGGTTGCTGAGAATATCAAAAGACACCTCTTACCATGTAGGAAATTTCAAGAGTTTTAGGAGCTCTGTCCCAGAAATGAGATGAAAAACAAACATATACTTCTTATTTTAAGTGACAGTATCACAAGCATTCAGATGTAGACAGAGATACGGATAGATACGCACGTACGCACAACTACACTCATAATAATTTAATCAGTCCCCTTTTGATGGGTATTTAGGCAGCTTCTAATATTCTGTTTCTAATAAACAGTACCCTTTTTTGCCTGCCTTTTGGCACAACAAATGTCAAATTTTTCTCCAGCATAATGAAGCCTAACAATTGTTGCTAAAGTAAAAGTTACCTATTGACCCACAAGAAGAAAATAAGGGCTCAAAATTATACTGGAAGCCAACAACTTCAAGGCAACCCAAGAATCCAAAGTAATTCAACTTCTAACAGTTTTGCAGTAGACAAATGTCACAATGTAAAATAGTACAGAGATGTTCAAAGAGATGCAAATAAGTAACAGTTACTGTATTTGCTAATTGGAGGATCGTGGGCGTCCTTGGTCAGAGCCCTTTCCATGGGGCACCAACCAAGTGACCAGGAGTATTTTCACAGTTGGTAAGTAAGCTGAGATTAAAAGGTTGTCAGGTTTCCACCACTGCAGCTAATTATGATCGACAACATCAAAAAGCAGGAAGGGAGGGAGAAAGAGTTGGCTGATTAAGTTACTATTAAAACTTTTTAAAATTTCTGGGGCGCTTGAGTGGCTGAGTTAAGTGTCTGCCTTTGGCTCAGGTCATGGTCCCGGGACCCTGGGATCGAGTCCTGCACTGCGCTCCCTGCACAGCGGGCAGCTGCTTCTCCCTCTCCCTCTGCTGCTCCCCCTGCTTGTGCTCTCATGCTCTCTGTCAAATGCATGAATAAGATCTTAAAAAAAAACAAAAAAAAAACTTTTTAAAATTTCCTAAAACCCCATGTTTCTACTGGTGGGAGTGTCAAGCGTCAAGACCTTTCTGGAGGGCCCAGTAATCAACAGCGCTGTTGACCAGTACATCCCATTCTCCTCCTTCCAGGCACACTGCAGGGTTGGAGGTTTGTACTGTGAGATGTTCCCCAGGCAGATTTATTCTTAAGATGATGGAGTTTATGCCTCAGAACTCCACACTTGCCACCCTGGCTTCCTATCCCAACTCCTTTGGGCAGGTGGTGATGGGGGAACAATGGTCGTTGTGGGGAGTGGGCTAATCGGAAGCTGAGTGAGAGATTGGTTACATTTGGGTTCAGCTGTCACTTCCACCCCTAGCTAGTTACTGCAGCTTTCCCGCTGCAGGCATGGCTTCCAGATAGGCTCCGAGCTGACATCACGGAGAAGAAATGGGCCCTAAATTTCACCAGACAGATCAGGATTATATCCAATAATGCAGAGTATGCAATTATAAACACACTATACATTTTCTCCATTTTGGGTGGAAATCACATGAAATAGAATTGATCAGAAATCCAGGGTTTGTATGGCAGAAGCCTGCAGTGGGACCACAGAGCATGAGTACGTGTGTGCGTGGGGGGGAGGGGAGATCACAACTCCTGCATCCCAGGCGGTCAGATGGTATCTGACAAACCTTGAACTGACAAGGTCAGAAAGCACTGCCACCCCCCCCCAAAAAAAAATGGCACACAAAACTGCCTCTATATACCTTTTTTTTAAAGATTTTATTTATTTGTCAGAGAGAGAGCACAAGCAGGGGGAGCTGCAGGCAGAGGGAGAAGCGGGCTCCCCGCAGAGCAAGGAGCCTGATGCGGGACATGATCCCAGGACCCCGGGATCATGACCTGAGTGAACTGAAGGCAAACGCCTAACCCACTGAGCCACCCAGGCATCCCTGTATGCTTTTTCAGTATTAAACAGATCATACTAA